GGTTGGCTTCATGTTTCAGGGCCGGTTGCTACGTCCATCTTTTATACAGTCTATGATCTACCCTCTAACTCTACATCTAGACAGCATTGTACTGGAGCGTTACTACAAGGTTCCACCTACAGAACCTGAAGGAACTGACGGGAGGCTGAGATGCAGGTTTTATTAAAGTGTTGCAGAATTATTCAGCTGTCAAGCAGATACACCGGATTTTACTAAGTTTTCTTGAAGTGTATATTATCAGATTGGAACTCTGAATCAGTAGATAATGAGCATTAATTACCTCAATCAGGACATTGTTAGTGTTCTAATGTGACCTCCTGCTGTGTCTCCTCAGTGAACTGTCTGGACGTCCATGTTGAGAAGCATCCGGACCGAGTGGCTCTGATCTGGGAGCGAGACGAGCCGGGCACCGAGCTGAAGGTGACCTACAGGTACGAGCATGTATTTGGGAAAACACATCAGTGTTTGGTCTGATCGACGCCTCCGTCCTCCATGTTGTCTCTGGTCTGTAGGATTATGTTGGATGTGTTTTCTTCACTGTGCAGCTACGAGCTGGAAGTACCTGCAGAACAATCTGAAGCACTGGTATCCTTCCAGTGTTTAACTTCATTCTGTTCTACGTCCGGTTTTGCTTTTCTTAATCATCTTGTTGCAGCTTTTGTGTTCTGACATGTTGACTTTATTTTCTCAGGTGTGTGTAAATGAAGCTTCAGTGCAGCTCAGAGTTTAAATCAAGGCTGAATGAAGATGAACGTCATCTGCAGCTCAGATTAAATCAGATGACCGTTCTCTCATCAGGACCACAAACGGACAGAATGTGTCAGTTAAAGGTGGTGGACACGCTGAAACCAGAGCTTCAGCCTCCAGCCGCCCAGCAGCTGCTGTCCTCTGACCAAAACACCCAAACACCAAACTTTAATCATCGAACTCAGCCTCCAGGTGTTGGTCTGTTTTACGAGTACCAGTGTGAAGCTGTGATTAATCCTCCTGCTGGTGCTGGACAGTCTGTTGATTCTACGCTGTTTCAGATGTAAAGGTGCAGGTGAACACAGATCATAATGAAACCACCAAGCAGAGAGCATTGTGGGAGTTTAGCAGCAACGGGCACCATGACAAAGACTTCTGTGGAGGTTAAAGACATCCGAGCAGATCCCAGACTAGAACAGAGTTTCTGAATCACAGCAGCAGATGGAATAGAGCAGAGTGAGGACCAAACCAGGAGTGTGATTGCATGAGTAGAAGCATCAGGATGGAGTAAATGATCTCCACCATCAGGTTGGGTTGTAGTTCATCAGCTACTGACAGGTCCTGCTGCTGGTTGTCTAGTAGGGAGGTTATCCTGAAGTAGCGTCCTGCTGGGATTTGCCACCATGAGCAGAGAGTGGTGCACTGATCAGCTGTTTCCCTCGTGTCGTCGGTGGCTTCCTGTCTGAAGCGTGCAGCGGCTGATGGAGTGGATGTTTAATAAGATCAATGTTTTTGTGCCACAGCGAGCTGCTGGAGACGACCTGCCGCCTGGCCAACGTGCTCAAGAGTCATGGGATCCACAAAGGCGACCGGGTGGCCATTTACATGCCGGTGTCGCCGATGGCGGTGGCGGCCATGTTGGCGTGTGCTCGTATCGGCGCCGTGCACACAGTCGTGTTCGCCGGCTTCAGTGCCGAGGCTCTGGCAGGACGGATTCAGGACGGTGAGTCTGTACAGAACCATGTTTAGCTCCACAGAGAACCATTGATCCAGATGTTCTTTAAAAAATGTTTCTGCAAACGGTTCTTTAAAGAACCCAAGAAGGTGCAGCAGAACCACAGCGGAACCAGCCAGAACTCAGAAGTTTTAACGCTGGAAAGGTAAAGTTTCATAGATCCGTCCTGTTTTTGCAGTTTCTGGAGGATAAATGGTTTAGATGAAACCGCTGTCAAACCTGCTGGCTGGTTTCAGGGTTCTGGAGATTCACACGTGGTTCTGATTCTGAATACAAATCAAGTCCCTGATAGATGGCGGGCCTCGTTTTCAGGCTCTGACCAGGTGAGTGAACATTTAAAGTCACTGAGCAGCTTTTAGTCCGTCAGCAGCAGAACCGGCAGAACCGGCAGGACGCTGAGTTCAGTCCGACTCCATCTGTGGAGGTCAGATGCTGGTGTTGTGGAAACAAAAGCAGGAAGCGTGAAGTTTCCAGCAGCAGAGCGTCCTGGTTGTTCAGAGCTTCCTGGACTTCAGGTTTTAACGAGTTCCTGCTCATCAGTGACGGGTGACTTCAATTGTCAGTTAATTTGCAGATTATTTTTCTTTACTGTTGGTTTATAAAAATGCTGTAAATGATGAGAAACACTGTCACAGACTCTCGGAGCCCAAAGTGTCGCCAAACTCATCTCAGAATGAGTTTGAATCATCTGCAGGGAGTTTTCAGATGAACTGCAGGAAACATGTTCAAACTCTGTTTTATTTTCTATTTTTTGTTGTATTTTATTGGATTTTTTTATTGTTTATTTTTAGTTTATGTTTTTTTTTTTTGCTTTAATTTTTATGCATCATTCTGTATTTTAATCATAGTTATTATTTGTAACTTTTTAATGTGAAGTTATAGACTTTTTATTATTGATTTTGCTTTTTTTTCTTTCTTTCTTTTTATGTTTAATTGGAATTGTCAAGAAATATCTGCAAATTTTCACATTTGAAAAGCTGGAACCATAAATTGGTCACTGATCTTTTCTTCCTGTTTTGTGTTCTGGTGCAAAAACTTTAATTAGTTGAACTCTGAGCTGCAGCAGAAGAAGCAGAACGCAGAGCAAAGCTTCTCATCATGAACATCCTGCAGCATTAAATCTGCTTCTAGCATTCGACTGTTTATTTACATTCAGTCCAAATGCAGAGTTATGGGTCAGAACACGTGTCGCGTTAAAAGCTGAGAACAGGTTAAAGACAAACAGCTGAATGAGGTCAGGACCGGGATCATGGCTTCAGGGTTTTATCACCAAACTTTCACCGTTCGCAGCAGCTTTAGTTCAAGGTTCGTTCAGCAGCTTCGGTCTGACAGAAAAGCTTTTAACAGCTTCATTTATGTCAATATTTGTTCTGTACAAGAATAAAGTTTTGTGTTTTTTTTAAATCAGGAAACAATAAAAATGTTCAATATTTTCTCGACATAAATACATGAAAGAAAGTCAAAAGTGCTGCTTTTGAATTTCAGTTCAAAACACGACAATGACACAGAAGTGACTGACTTTAGCTTCAATTTCACACCGTTTAAGAAATACTGAGGATGAGATCATTTTAAATGATGAATGAAAAAGCCACCAGGAGCAGTAAGAACCAGATAAACGTTGGCAGAACGTTGTGTTAACTAAACTCGCTCCACAAACACTACAGTGAGGACAGCAGATCCTCTTCAGATGCTAACTAGCTAACTAGCTTACTGCTAACTTCTAACTTACTTCAACCTGGTAAATCTTAACTGGACACGATGCTACAGGCGTCTGTCTGTCTGGCTGGTTGTCACACTGACTTAATGCTGCTGCTCCTGGTTCTGCAGATGAAGATGAACCTGAAGCTGATGATGATGATGATGATGATGATGAAGAGGAGTTAATCACGTGGTCCCTCAGCTCATGTAACCCTGCTGCTCGAAACACCGGAAAGTCTCAAATGACCAGATTGTGAATGATTCACCAAACATTCATCAATATTGTTCATTCTACTAACTGCACCATGAAGGTTGTAGCTTCACTGTTCCACCCTCTGTATGTCCCACCACCTTTGCTGTGAATGTTCTGTCCAATCAAACAGAAAATCAAGAAAAGAGGATCCAGCATTCATCCCAGAGGAACTCCAAACCCAATTTTACACGAGACATACACAGAATCTTTGATTTCCAGAACAAATTTCCAGCTTGTGAATATTCAGCAAATATTTATCAATATTTTTATTTGCACAAACTTCTCATGAAAGATGTGATTTCGCTGCAGTGTGACTCCTGTGAGGCCTCTGTGGTCAATGATGTGTCCGTTCAGTATATAAAAAGTAGGGAGGACCCAGCATGGACCCCTGAGGAACTCCTCAGCTCATGCTGCTGTGTTCTGTGTTCCAGCTGGATGTAAAGCTGTGATCACCTGTAATCAAGGTGTGAGAGGAGGCCGGACCATCGAGCTGAAGGCCACCGTGGACGCTGCTGTCCAGAACTGTGCGACTGTCCAACACGTCTTTGTCTCCCAGAGGACGGACAGACCAACAGTGATGGGACCGATGGACGTCCCGCTGGAGGAGGTGAGCCACACGATCAATATGTCACCAATACATCACTGATACCCCATCAATACATCCTAAATACAAGGTTCGTTCCAGGAGACGCCCTCCCAGCTCCTTGTCTGTCCTGTAGTAGTATCACTAGTGGTGTCAGTAGTACAGGTGTGTCCTATCTCCAGGTGATGTCCTCTCAGCTTCCTGTCTGTCCTCCTGAGTCTCTGGACAGTGAGGACCTTCTCTTCCTGCTCTACACTTCAGGCAGTACAGGGAAACCTAAAGGCCTTGTCCACACTCAGGCCGGATACCTGCTGTACGCCTCCATGACCCACCAGGTACTGCAAGTACTACTACCTCGTATTACTGACTCCTCCATGGCTCCCCAGATGCTCCTCCTTTATTAAACCTCCCTCAGTAACTCCTCAGGTGAGACGTTCCTCTCAGGTTCTCCTCACAGTAACTTGTGTTGGAACTTCTCATTCTGAAATCTGGGACAAAGTTTAGTGTCAGAGTTGGTTTGAAAGAGTCTTTGTTTGCTCGCTGATTCACTTTGTGTTTTAATGGGAGCGTGAAGACAAAGGAGGCGGTTACACAACAGGAGAACAACGCTGCTGCTGTCCTCAGAGACGAGGAGGACGGTGACGATGAGGAGGACGGTGACGATGAGGAGCAGCTGGATGAAGCTGCAGCAGAAGCAGCTGCTTCATGTCATGTTGTTGATAATTGAATCAGAACAGAAGCTCCTCCATCGCTGCCAAACATCTATCAGTGCTAATTTCTAAGCAGCTTAGCGGCTCACAGATCGAGGGGGGTTTGGCTCATCGCCGCTGTTTGGATGAAAAACAGAACAAAAGCTGATTTATGTGAAAAAGGCTTCTGGCTGCTGGCCGAGCGAGAGACACCCAGAGAGAGAGAGAGCGTTGCTAGGAGACGCTCGGTGTCTCTGCAGCCATTTTGTTTGTGGTCAAAACACGTCCAGATTCTTTCCACTGAACAGGCTGCGTTCAAAACACGACACTAAACTTGCTGAACAGGTTGCTAATGTTGCTAATATGCTAATGCTACCGCGACGTTGTTGTTCCAGTACGTGTTTGATTGTCGGGACGGCGACGTGTTCGGCTGCGTGGCCGACGTCGGCTGGATAACGGGACACAGCTACGTGGTTTACGGCCCGCTGTGTAACGGCGTCACCACCGTGCTGTTCGAGAGCACACCTGTTTACCCGAACCCAGGTGACCCGCACATCGTACACACCTGTAACACGCCTGTAACACGCCTGTACCACGCTTTAGATCAGTGTCTTTAAAAACATGTCTGTTGAAGTAAAACTGAGCTGCTCTAACAACTCTCAGGTGACTTTCACCTGCAGAACAGGTGACCTGAGGTGTGGAGCGTCACACCTGTGTGCTCAGAGCTCACAGAGAGAAGTTCAGTTACTCATTAATGAAGGTTCATGTCCTTCAGGAAGGTTATCTCACCTGTATTGTTTTACGGCTCCTCTGAGCTGTGATTGGTCCAAACAGCTATGACATCACAGACTTTACACCAGGTGATCGACCTGTTATCACTGTCATGTGGACGTTACCTGTACGGAAAGATCTGTACAGAACAAACAGGCCTCATGGCTGAGTGTCAGACAGGTGTAACATGCTGTCAGGTGTTGTCAGGTAACAGGAGACAGACAGACGTCAGGCAGACATGAAACATCTCCACACAGACACATCAAGTGTCTGTTGAAGTAAGCTGAGAGTCCAGGTGTTCCTCAGGTGTGACAGGTGTGGTGTGCTTCAGGCAGGTACTGGGAGACCGTCCAACGTCTGAGGATCAACCAGTTCTACGGCGCTCCGACGGCTCTGCGGCTGCTGCTGAAGTACGACGACAGCTGGGTGAAGAAGTACGACCGCTCGTCTCTCAGGACGCTCGGCTCAGGTGGGCCATGATGTCAGACGTCATGTGACGGACCCCAGGTGTGTCAGGTGTCAGTCAAAGTCCTCACAGAGGTAGCAGTACACATGTGTGTGTCCACAGTGGGAGAGCCCATCAACCACGAGGCCTGGCGCTGGTTCCACAGCGTGGTGGGAGACGGACGCTGCCCTCTGGTGGACACCTGGTGGCAGACAGGTGAGACGGCACTCACCTGTGGGCACTGACAGCAAAACAACCACAGAGACACAAAAGTGACCATAAACAGACAATAACAACCACAATGACAAAAACACGAGCCCAGACAGATGAAGAGCAGCTGCAGGGAGCCGTGGTGCCGCCAGACGCCAGGTCATCGCCTGTTTGCTCCGAGTTCACTCGCGCCTCAAAAATCGCGTCATTCATGCGTCCGCCAGGAATTTCTGCCCGTTTCCTGTCATCGTCCAGTGTGGCGTCATCAGACATGGTTGTGCTCCACAACATTGCTGCTGTACCTGCTGTGGAAGGCCCAGAAACGATGGGATCCAGACGCCGCTGTGTCCAGGTCCATCAGATCCTCCAGAGACGCACACAGCTCGAGGAATTTCCCCACCTCCTCTGGATGACGGCTGCTTCCACCGCTGACCCGGCTGACCCGGCTGACCCGGACCCAGTTTGGCGACCTGTTGGAGAGGATCGGTACCAGGACATCCCTCCAGGATACCAGGACACGTCACCAGAGGATCTCAATGCTGATTGGCTATCGTGGCGCGAATGCTCGCTTGAGTTTTCAACTTGTGCGAATGGAGTGTCATTGGAGCCACGCAGTTCGTGCTATTTGCACCGCGAGACGTGTCCTCGCGTCAAATCGCGTCTTCACATTGACTTGACATGGAAATCATTCACACGAGTGATTTTACTGGCGTCTGGTGTGAACTCATCACGAGATAGAGGAGAGCAGAACTTAATGTCACGGTGGAAGCAGCACTCAGGAGTTCAGCAGTGACATGCTGCTGTAGCGCCCTCTGTGGCAGCAACACGCAATGAGAAAAAAAATAACGTGAACGAAAGACAAATATAGTATAAAATTTAACATTAAAGCAAAGACTGGGAGGACGAGGAGGAATTCACACAGCGTGGCTGTTGTGTGTGTTTGTGTGTCTTTGTGTTTTCCTGCCTCTGACTTTCCGTCTCAGATGATCCTGATGGAAGACGTTCATGTGCAGCTCTGGTCCTGTTCAGAAGTGACCAACATGTGACATAAAGGTCTGAAACGTCATATTCATGGTGCTGATAAATGGAACAGTTTAACCAGTTTAACCAGTGTGGGAGGAATCATCTGGTTGAAGGTGGCACCCACAGACACACAAACAGCCGCTGAAGGTGTCGGATGCTAACGCTGATATTCTGACTTTCGTCGAGCTCGTTCTTGGAGGTTTGCTGCGTCCTGGTTTGTCGCTCTGTCTTTGATCCGTCTGAAGCTCTGAAGCCTAATTGGAGCGATTAGCAGCAGAACATCTGCAGCAGCAGCAGATGAGTTCAGATCCAATCGTCTGCAGCGACACCCTGAAGCCGATCCGATCAGCTGAGTGACCTAATTCCTCGACAATCACGACACCGAGCTGCTTTAACTCGACAGCTGCTTCACAACACAACAAAGTCCCAATAAATTAAGAAATTAAAGAAATTACAGCTGCAGCAGCGTCTGACGCCCCCCAGAGGCCAGCGACAAAACAGCAGCCCACATATTAACACACAGAAATATAATGTGATTAATTAAAATCATCCTTCATGGGCGCCTCGTGGCTCCCCTAGCTGAGTGGGTAACCATGAACAGGCTGTAGTTAGTTGTAGTTAGCTGTAGATAGCTGTAGTTAGCTGTAGATAGCTGTAGATAGCTGTAGTTAGCTGTAGATAGCTGTAGATAGCTGTAGTTAGCTGTAGCTAGCTTTATTTAATTGTAGTTAGCTGTAGTTAGCTGTAGCTAGCTTTATTTAATTGTAGTTAGCTGTAGTTAGCTTTA